AGTTCTCCAAATACATATCCGTGACGACGAGTCACTGGTCGTAACTGCATGCATGTAGACCCGCTACTAGACGAGTAGACACTCTCTGGACACGCTTCGCTTTTGCCAACTCTCCACGGGTTGTCGGAAACGCCGCCGCACCATCATACTCCCCCATCGCGACGAGACTACACTTTGACGTGGTGTGATGGCTTGTGCACCTCTCTGACCCAACGAGCTACACCGGATGGCTTTTTTCAAGCCAAAGATCTAATCATGCCTGGAAGGTCGAAGGGTAGAGGTCAGATGAAGTCCAGTCTCCTGGTCCTCCAGGCTGGGGGTTCGACTGGAATGTGTTTCAGTCTGTAAAACTAGCGGAAGAGTAATCAATCTAAGTGAATGGGCTTCCACTTCGCTTCACCCGCTGCCTTGCGGTTAGGTTCTTGTCAGAATTAAAGGCTTTGGTTGAGAACCCTAATCGTTCTCCTGTTTAGTGACTGGACACCCTAGCAGTACCCGTCCATCAAACCCCAGTGCATATGCATAGCGAGTTTGGCAGCGATCAGTGAAGTTCGCTTCTCTGTATTTTGCTATACGACGATAATCATACTCCAGATGAAGGCGAATCGCTTTGGCATACAGAATTCTGAATGCCTATCTCGACAAGGGCACAGACGAGCGACGAATGGCTCTTGGGATGCTCCAAGTAGAGGAACAGACCTTGCCAGTGTGGCCTCTGGTCTTGAGAAACAAAGAAATGACCACCCTTAATTCTCTCCCTCGGTCGCCGTTCCGGAGAACTTCTTTTGTTGTGCGCACCGGTCTTGGATCACTGCGACCTACTCTCATTTGTACACACTTACCGATATTATTGAGAAGCACCCACTCGGACAGCCGATCTAAATCGCCTGATAAAACTTTCATGTTTCGTGACGATCGAAGTACCTTCCATAGCTTCAAATCGTCCGTGTAGACGAGGCATGGCGACGCAGCTNACGGGGCCTAGAACCAAACCTTGGGGGGGGGGCTGCTGCCAGGTGGATATGGAATTACGAATCCTCACCGCAAAACGTCTTACCTTTAAAACATCCGCCAGCCAAGTGAATATTGGGTTCGTAGCTTCAAAGCTTTGCAACTTCAAAAGCTGCCTTTCGTGCGGTATCTTGCAAAAGGTTTTGCTTAAGTCTACGTAAACAATATCTGTGNNNGATGAATCCGCTAGCTTTGGCGGCTCACCATTCTTCCCTGAACATAAGGTTTGATAGACAAGACCTCTGCGGGTGAAAACCACGTTGTTGGTGCCGAAGCAGCCGATGATCCAACGGATGGTGATGCAGTTTGCTGTGACCCAAGCGCTCCATCATTTTACAAGAGATGCATGTTAAACCGACGGGACGGTAATTCATTGGGTCTGCCTTCGAACCGCCCCTAAAAAGTAACGATATTAGTGCACCCTTCTCATACTTGGGAAACCGAACATTTCTTGAAGAAATACCAAGCAAGGTAGATAGGGGGTGGGGGAGAAATCACGATCGCACGCTCCTTCAAAACTTTGGGATGGATTCCATCTGAATCAGGAGGTTGATTGGTATTCGGTTTCTCCCGTGCGGCTTGTAATTCATCTCAGAGTCCCCATCCAGGGAGCCTAACGGGACCTATGTGACCCAGTCTCCCGATTAGGGTTTTCATACCCTCATGCCAGGTCTTAATTCGACCGCCCTTGATCCTTTTCCGACCGCTATCCGCCTTGGCAAACATCGCTCGCCGCGAAAACCTACCTGGTGACATGCGTAACACATGTCCCAACCAACGTAATCTATGAAGGTCGGCTAATTGCTCCAGTGGACGACCCCGATTACCTAAAACTCTACGCCTAACTTCAGCGTTGCTAGTCCGGTTACCCCGCCAGACTCGTGCAATGACACGTAGACAGCAGTGTTCAAACATCGATAATCTATTTCTATTCTGTTCCCGTGATGCCCAAGTCTCTGCACCGTAGAGCAGCACTGGCCGAACTGCTGTAGCACATAATCGACCTTACACAGACAGTCGGATATCGCAACGGCGCCACATGTCTCAAGTTGGCGAATGCCAACAGAGCCTTTTGTATCACCGCCGACACTTCATCTGTGATGCGTCCACCAGGTGAGATATAGTTGCCAAGATAGCAAAATTTGTCTACTTCCCCAGTCAGAGTGAGGTTGTGGGCTGGACCAACCCTACCTTGTAGTAGCATTTTACACTTTGAAGGTGCAAAACGCATGCCGAACATCGACACACTAGCACTCAAAATATGCAGAAAAGCTTGCAACTTACCTGGATCTTCACTTAGTAGCACAATGTCGTCTGCATATTCTAGATCAGACAGTCTGTCACCTGGAAGCAAATCGATACCACTATCCTCGCACGAGGATAGGGTTGTTTCAAGAATTGAATTTATCACGAAGTTAAATAGAAACAGAGAGGGAGAGGGTAACCCTGTCGAACACCACTTTCCGTGGTGAACTCGGGAGAAAAAGTGCCGTAAGCTCGGACTCGGCTTCGGCTATTAGTATAAAGCGATTGTAATATTGAAATCAACTTTTCGGGCACTTCCTTCAGGGAAAGGCAGCGCCAGAGTTTAGAGCGGTCGACTGAGTCAGAAGCCGTTTTCAGATCGAGGAGGATAGAAATGGTGGGCCTATGAAGGGAGTGTGTTCTAGGATTTGACGGAGAGTGAAGATGTGGTCAGTACAGCCTCGACCAGGTCCAAAACCAGCCTGGTTCTCACGTGTGGCAAACAATCGGCGGAGTATGATGCTGGCGAGAAGTTTAGAGGCTGTGTTGATTAGACTAATTCCTGTGGTTTCCACGAAAGTGCGTATCCTCCACTGAGGATATCCATTGTAGCCTGAACATGGATTTTCAACTAGTCAAATACACAGAAAGAGCAAATTACCACCGCCCATTGCAGGTAGCTCGTTTCCGAAAATCTGCCCCACCGGTTAGCAGAAAAAAATGATGCCGATGCTGGTGGCTCATGTTACGTCTCTGTTACACATGGGACTAAAGAGAGTATGGATTATTCATCCATGGTGCTGTGCATAGCTTGGACGCCTACCACTCTCGAAGAATACTGTCGTGTGCGTAGCATACTCACTATGACTCAACCATATCATAACTGAATTATCTCACTCGACAACAGAGACCCGGTAAAAGACGAGAAATTACGTGCGGCAAGCAGATAACTCCGCTGTCCGACAAACTGCGCAATTACAGCACACCCTGGCAAGGAATTTTGAAGCAATTTGCCTGCCTCAGATAACCGATTTTGATCCGCTTACTTATTTGCTTCTACTACCTCAGGTGGATACTGCTCGTCGACGCCCGTGGAGGGGCCGAAACTAAGTTTGTTTTATTCGTCGGAACGCGTCTTCAAGGTTGCCTCATCTTTCGAGGTTCCATTCACATTCTACCACTACTTTGCGTACAACTGGCTTTTGATCATCAATCACACTCAGGAAACGAAACAGTGTGGTGTTCGAAACATCGTGTTACTTAACCTCTATCAATCGATATCAGAAAGAATTAACAATGCATCTTGAATAGGCCATCCTGCTCGCGCTCTCAAAAGTGAAAACCGGCCTAGTCAGACTAGATCTTACAGTGATGGTATCCAAATGAGAAGAGAAAAAGACTGAGCAAGATATCAAATATTTATTTATAAGACTACTAGACGAAAGCACTGTGAGCACCGTACGTATATGCAGCACTGATCCTAGCAGCCAGCCTCTAGGTCTCTCAGTTTTGTGCCGTCGCCTAAGGCTGATAACCGGCCAGGAAATCGATGACTATTTGCTTCAGTTTTTCGTCGGTTGCTGGTTTCAACTCTCCATCTTCTCGGATGGTCTTGAGGAGGTCCTGGTGGTTTGCTAAAACGAACTTCAGGAAATCTTGCTCGAATTGAGTTATCTTTGACGGATCCAATTTATCCAAATAACCTCGCACTCCAGCGTAGATCACAACCACCTGCTGCTCGATGGCCATGGGAACTAGAGAACGAACATAATATATAAGACTTACTTACCAT